TGAGGAAAACGCTGTGAGGGTTCCCAGCGACCTTGCGTTGGGAAATTCTCGGTCCTTGCAGGGAGGAGAAGAGCTTGCAGGAAGCAGGGGGGGATTCTGGATGGGGCTGGGAGCGCTCATGAGTCACCTCAGCGTGCTCTCACTGCTGCCCACATGAGCACCTCTCCCAGTCCCCTGCTGGGCTGGGACCCTCGGCGTGGCTCCTGGCTAGCGCTCACCCTCATAGCTGGGGCGCCCCCTCAGCTGGCTGATATTTTTAACTCACTTTAGACAAACGTACAATTCAATAACGTACCCCAGTTAGTCCGAAATCCCAAATGGGTCAATGAAACTGCCTTTCTCAGATCTTTAAGGCAGCTGTTGGTTTCTGGAGCGCTTCAGAACCGGAGCTGTTAGACCACGACCCGCCAGTACCAGTCAGGGGGTTGCCCGGCTGTGAGCTGGGGAAGTGGCATGTTGTGTGGATTTCTGTGTGCTGCGGAGATGCACGCGCTGTGGAGGCAGCTGCTGTGCTCACAGAGCAAACCCGGCCCTCTCTCCTCTCGCACATAGAGATCTGTCCAAAGGATCAAAGGGTTAACTTTAAATATACTGCTCCTAAAATACTGTGCTGCTCCAGATGCCGTGTAGGGTAATTGGAGGAGATGTTTTAGAAAATGTAAACTGCTTGGGAATATTTGTGTGCAGATCAGACGGGGAGAGAAAATTGCTCTTTCAGTCTGATCTCCAGGAGGCATCTCGGTTCCACGCTCTAGAGCTCTTTTCAAACCTATCCAGAGCTGTGCTGCGTCCTCCACAGTTTGCTGCCCAACATCGGCCCATTTCTGAGCACCAATGAAGCACCTGAGGCTGAACATGTGACCAGATTACTCCAGCGCTCCCATCCCTGCCCTGGCTGCCAGTGATGTTTTGAACTGGTTCCCGGGTATCTGATCTCAGCCGGGCGCAGACCGTGATCGGGGTCTGGCTGGGATTCGGGTGGCCACAGAGGTGCGTTTGGGTCTGCTCAGAGCCGTGTTTTGGGCGGCGCGGCCCAGTTTGGGACTGGAGTCCAGGTCGGGGGGTGCTCTGGTCAGGACACGGGCGGGGGGCAGTGGTGGGAAGGCCAGAGGTCCGGCAGTTTGTTTTCCATTAGCGTCGCAGTTCCATCTCAGCCTGGGCGCGGCGCAGCACCGCTGGGCTCACTGGGCTCGGGGGAGTAGGAGGTTGCAACAGGGAGGCAGGCCCAAAAAAAAAA